GAGCCTTTCTTCCATCCAGCGCCTTTCTTCCTTCCCCTCCCCTCTTGTCTTTCTCTTTTTATTTGCTTTCCTCCGCCCAGCGTGTTTCCCTCCCTGTCAGATGTGCCCGCCCCAGCCCGCCGGCGCACAACCTCTAACGGCAGGTCTACTGGTTTGCTAACGTTGGCTTAGGGTTGCTCTTGTTTAAGCGTTTTTCCGTAAGAGAAATCAGCTGCTTTCCTTACGGAGGAAGCTCCAGCTGTAATTGTTACTACTTGGCGGTTGGGTTGCGGGTGGGGAACCTGTGGGGCGTGCCCCTACCCACGCTACGCGCTGGGGTCACTGGGGTGGTTTTGGGGCGCCCCAGGGTCGAGTACGCAGCCCTACTAGGACGTCCGCGCTGGGGCCTGGCTGCCATGGTGGCTTGGGAAAAGCAGAGAGACACGTGAATCCAAGGGGGTCAAAGCGAGTTAAGACCTTTCACAGGGCTCCGCTTGCAAGTAACTGAGCCCCGGGCGCAGCCTCTACCTGTTTTCTACCTGCCATTGCTCCCTCCTCTCAGACCTGAAGCCGCCTCCTTCAGGTACTCTGGGCCGAAGTACTAGGCGCGTCGGGAGCACCGCTCAGCAAGGGCGCCTGGCACCCTGGGGCGCCTCCACGGCCCTCGTGGGCTCCGCGACACCCGCCCCACCGCAGTCTTCCCTGCGCGAGCGTGCGGCGAGGGACCCTCGTCCCTCCGAGATCCCCAATGGAAAGGACGCTTGCGGATTCGGATGCAACCAATTGTCTCCCTCCCCTGGTCCTGTGACTTTTTCCTCCCTCCGCCTGCCGCACACACGCAGGCTGTGCTTTGCGCTCCTGAGAGACCAGGCAGCTGCAAGCTCAAGGCAAAAAATGGTGTTTCAGCCTGCGGGGGACTGGGGAGGGGGAGCCCAGCCCGTGCACGAATGTCGTGTGCTAGCCGGAACGTGGGTCCCAAGGCTCATATTGTGCATTTCGACGTCCAGAGCGAAGGGTGCTGGGCACCAGAGAGAAAAAGGGACCAAGTCGCTGTCAGTTCCGGTCAGTGACGGAACTGGGCACCGTCACCAAGGACCAAGCTGGCTCCCAGGGTGGGGGTGGGGGATGAAGGAGCCAAGGGCCCGGGAAATGATCTCCTGGGTTAGCAGCGGCCAATTGCAACTTCAAAGGAGAGCTGAGAGCTCGCCAGGGCGCCGGGGCGTCCTCACTTGGGTGCGCGCGTGCATGCGTGCGTCTGTGTCTTCAGCTCCTTCCCTGGTCGTAAAACCTAAATGAAGACGAGTGTTTAAATGCTGCTGACAGGATCGCCTGAAACATGTTTACAGTAGGAAAGTCTTTCCTCCGAGAAGCACAGCCTGAGTCGATTCCAATTTACCTCCTCCCTGTAACTGTAAGCAAAAAGCCAGGCTTAGTCGCCGCGCCGGAACGAACCTGAGCACCATTAATCCTCGCGGAGTTTACGGCAGGAAGAGGGCCGTGGCTGCGCTACCGAGTCGCTGCGCTCCGCAAGGCGTTCTGACCGAGGGAAACCATTTTTTTTTTTTTTTTTCCAGGAGGGGTGGCCCGTACAAGTCGTTAGGTAATGCGTGCCGTTTCTCTGCTCCTGGTGGAGAAACTGCATTCTAACTAGTTCCCGCTTCAGGAAGATGATACACACACGGTAACTGATAATCTCCCGAGTTCAGTTACCAAATCCAAACGGGCGGCTAGCCTTGGCCTCCCCAGTCATTGGGAGCTTCTGACAAGTGAACTGTATGCCGTGTTTACGTTCGTAAATCATAAACTTGGACTCCTGAAAAAATAATCCAAATTCACTGAGACACTTGGTGATCGTTTTAAAATGCTACCTAGAGAAGGAAGAGTAGTGGGGGATGATAGCGGTTTGCGCGAGGAGAGAGAGAAGAAAGAATTCTGTCCATCCCCACGTTTTCCCACGTCTTATCCGGGGCTCAGAGAGGCTCAGCGCTGCCACCTGGCGGTTACTTCTTCCCAGAGTGGGAGCCGGCTGGCTGCAGAGACAACCCAGACTCCCCCGTGGGTGTGCCTTTACTCTCTGCCTTGAGAAATGGAGTAGCAGCCCATATTCATGCTTCACATCTATGGCCCATGCAAACACTCATTCTCTTCTTATTCTCTTGAGAAAATCGAGAGGAAAGGCACAATGAGTTGGCAGTGGTATTAAGAGCTTACCTGAGCCTACTATGTGCTTACCCCTGGTTATAAGGGGAGAGAAAGTGATAAAAATTAGTCGAAATGTGAGTTTCTAACCACTTGGCTTATTGTAAGAGTAAAAATAAATCATGTTTAATTTTATCCCAGAATTGTTTTGACATTTTTCAAATGATAATTACTTCCATATATTATTTTTTAATACAACCCTGAATAGTAAGTTCAATTCTAATACAACTTCATCAGCCCAAAAGGATGAAGTGTAAGTGGTTTGTTTACTCGACTAAGAAGTAAATCAGCCTTGGGAGAAGCGTTCTTTTCCATAAACTGTGGAAGTGAAAAGCCTGAGGGCTTTCAGTTGACAAAGGCCAATGAAATCAAATTTCCAAAGACTTCTTCCTTACCTGCTAGTTAAAGTAACAAAGACCTTTTTTTTCCGCCGTTTAGTATTATTTGAACTGAATACTTGGTCAGGTCAGACGAGCAACTAGAATCAGTTTCTATAACCAAAACCAGGCAAAATCTTGCAAATCATTGCAAATCTAGGAGATTTGTTAAACTAATTTCCCTTCAGGTTTTTTTCCCCCTTACATGCTATAAGAATATATTAAGCAGTGGGATAGAATTTTATTTCCATCCATACCCCATACCATTTAATGGATGTGAGATTTTATGTTGTCCAGGTGTTTGAGAGCAGAAGAAAGAAATGCATTAACAGATATTACGCTTACATTTCAAATGCAATTCCAGTATTTAATGGAATAAAATAAATGAGATAAAAGTATTTACCTTAGTTCAAAATTTGAAATGTCTAACATCATTGCGAATAAAGATAATTAGTTTACTATTCTAAAACAGGTCTGTTGTTTTTTCGTTTTTGCAAAATTATCTTGGCTAACTGTTAATATGACTTAAAGAGTAGCATTAAGAAACACTTTATGTACTGCAAAGCCAGCAGAGGGAACACTGAGTACTGATTTACTAAGGGCCACCACCAAAAAACTGATATTTGGAGGAAAAATATCTGTAATGGAAAAACTGGTTATGAAGCATATGAAGTAATGAGAACGCAGAAATCTTCTCTCATCATTTGGTATTCAGAGGCCGAATACATTCCAGCATGCACATACTTTTGAGCTGCTAAGAAAGATGACTCTTTAATAAAGGGCCATTTGTCACGTTTTCTTACATTTTAAGAACTAGTAACACATAACAGGCCTACTTCAGAAGTCTAAGCACTCATATATGTATAATAATCTCATAAAGTCAATGGAAATTATTAGAAACTTATTTCACCAATTTTAAGAGGCACTTTTTCTCTTCATTTCAAAAATCTCTGAAATAGGGAGACATCTTAGAACCAGTGGCAAGTCACAGTTCATTGGTATTTTTTTTCTTTCCTAGTGGCATGTAACATAATGGTATGTCTTAAAACCTATGGCATATTGATTTGTTCAAATATAGAAACTGCATATAACAATAGGATTACATGGTAAACCTATTGCCATCAAGTCGATTCTGACTCATGGTGACCCTATAGGACCGAGGAGAACTGCCCCATAGGGTTTCCAAGGTTGCGATCTTTACGGGAGCAGACTGCCACATCTTTCTCATGCAGAGTAGGTCGTGGGTTCAAACTGCTGACCTTTCAGTTAGTAGCCAAGTCTTTAACCACTGTACCACCAGTGGCTATTATTTAGTACACACTCTTTAAACTCTATGTGCTTTAAGCATAAACATAATTACTATAACTGCTTTGATTAACTTTCCCCCCATCATGTTCAGTGGTGGAAGCATAAAGGACTTTAGAATTATAATCAATTACATTTGATACTCTGAATTATCTCAAGGTAGCTATACCCTCAAATCATTACTTGGTACAAATTCCTAAAAAAAAATACAACATTTATTCTCCTTTTTATTCTAGTGAAAATATTTATTTTATAGATAACAGACCTCTGAGGAAAACCCTGGTGGCATAGTGGTTAAGCGCTACGGCTGCTAACCAAAAGGTCGGCAGTTCGAATCCCCAGTCGCTCCTTGGAAACTCCGTGGGGCAGTTCTACTCTGTCTTATAGGGCTGCTATGAGTCAAAATCGACTTGACAACAACAGGTTTTTCTTTTTTTTTTTCTTGGTTTAGACTTCTGAGAATAATTTTTATGTCAGACTGATAACATTTAGGGGTGTGTTTCTGTGCACACTAGAGAAAATGAAATATGTAACACATCCAACTTTGTTTTGTAAAAAGGTGCCAGTGGTGTGTGTATATATATAGATATAGATATAGATATATATTCCCCCCCTTCTAAAAAATATTACATAACTTGGGTAGGTAGCAGTCAAAAATTATTTGCCTAGACCTACAAAAAAAAACATTTTTCTTGTGGGTGATCCTTAGAGATCCAGTTAGGTGTCCCCAAAGGGTGTTGTTTCCAGTAAAATTCTAAATCTGATAACCTGGGCCTCTTGCCACCCTACATACTTTCAACATTTGACAAGATAAATAGAAATCGGCTACCTAACACTAGTTTGATCTGAACTGAATAGCTGGCTTCATTATGCTGGGTTGGCCCTGCCTTACTACTTGTCATTGGCCTAAAAATATTAAAAACAGTTTACTATTATGGTGTTAGGGAAGGTCAATATTTACTTAAATTCTAACTTTCAGACCTTGGGATAGAAGTAATTTTTTTGGCCAAATTAACATGTGTTCTAAATACCTAACAACCTTTTATTTGTCACATTCTTCACAAAGTTCCTTTTTAAAAAAAAAAAAAAATTTATTGGGAGGCCAGGGTTGTCACTATTGTCGTTTTATGGCTTCATATCTATGATCTGTAATTACTTTTTCACATCAATGACCATCCTCAGTTTTAGTTTCTTAAATGACATTCTGCTTCTAAGAGAAGTGTCACTGGTATTTGAATTGCCAGAGGAAAAATATTAACATTAATTGAGGGCTTGCCGTACATCAGGTGCTTTATAGTCACAAACTCATTGAACGCTCACAATGATCCTATATATAGTAGCTCCTAGTGTTCCCATTTCACAGAGGAAAACTGAGACCTGGTCACATCCCCATGGTTACAAACCCCATAAGAGGGATTAGCAGCCAGGTCTTCTATGAATCCAGAGGCTCTAGTCTCTTACTATGGTTTCTCTTTGCATTGTCCCTTTCCATTTGAATCAAGTGATGAACATATAAGAAAGAACGGGGATGGCTGTGGAGAGTGAAGCAACCTTTTAATTTTGAAAATGCGTGAAACAAACATTCAGAAAGTAAAACCTAGTCCAATCCTTTACTTTCCATTCTCATCCTATACAATGTAGAAACTAGAATCTATGGAAATTCCCCCATTGAGTTAATTATGGAACAGTGCCTAATGTGTTCCGATAGAAAGCTCCTCCGTTTGGGCTATCCAGGATTTATGGTGGAGTTTAAATCATTAAATAACCATAGTTAACCCTCGTTTGGTTAAGAGAGCAAGCAATTATTGAAAAAAATTTTCCTCTTTTCTCCCTTTCACAAACAGCACAAAGATTATTCTGAAGAGATTTACACAATACGTCAACATCTGTGCTGTACCTAGAGTTGTTAAAATAATTGTGATGACAGGTGTCTAGGTACCACTTTCTTAATGGTTTTCAATATCCACTGATTTACTGTTGTGGCTTTCCCTCCCCCCTTTCACATCCCTGGCTTTATGAAGGAGCTGAGGAACAGATTTTGCACTAGAGGCTGATTATTCCAGTGCTGAAAAGAACTAATAAAAATAATCACTTGGCTTTTAAGCAGAAAGCTTCCATTTACAGTATTTCACCCTCCCCCCTCCAAGCCCCTTGTTATCTAACATAATGGTTAGAATACATTTCCGTCTCTCTCCTTAATAATTTCATGCATTAACATCCTCTTCACACCACACACACACACGCATGCACACACACCACACACACAGAGCAAAAGGAAAAACGCGGCAGCAGAAATCTCAGCTGTACTTCTACCCCTTTTAAAAAGTTTGCTCTGTAAACTGGAATGAGGTCAGATTTGCAGCTTCTCATTGCACGCGGAGATTATTATTGCATCGGGTTCCAAGCCAATGGGAAGACTAGGGGAGGGGCTTGGCACGAGGAAGCGTTGGTTACAGCGGCTGATTGGCTGCGGCCAAGACTGTGAAAGGATAAAGAGGCGCGAGGCGGAATTGGGGTCTGCTCTAAGCTGCAGCAAGAGAAACTGTGTGTGAGGGGAAGAGGGCTGTTTTGCTCCCGGGTCTCTAGTTCTTGCACGCTCTTTTAAGAGTCTGCACAGGAGGAACTCTGCCATTACCGGCTTCCTTCTGCAAGAGGGGAAGAGGAAAACATACATTTATTCATGCCAGTCGGTTGCATGAAGGCTTTCTGGCTTTATACCTTGCAACAAAATAACTGCACAAACTCCTTAGTGCCGATTCCGCCCACAGAGAGTCCTGGAGCCAGAGTCCTTTTTGCTTTGCATTGTAGGAAAGGGACTAAGTGATAGAGACTATGTCGCTCTCCTGAGCTCCTGAGAGCACTCGTGAACTGGAATCAACTGCTTCAGGGAAAGGAAAAAAAAAAAAAAAAAAAGACTTACCTGGGAGGCGGCGAGAAACTTGCATTGGAAGCTTCAGCAACCAGCACTCAAGAAACTCCTTTCCACTTTAGTCCGGTCTCCAGACTCAGCCGAGAGAGAGAGCAAACTGCAGCGCGGTGAGAGAGACAGGGAGAGAGAGACGCTCCAGCCTGGGAACTATAACTCCTCAGCAAGAGGCAGAATACTCCTTTCCCGCATCTTTGGGAGACTTTTCTCGGCCAGGAGTTGAGCTGCCCGCCCGCCCGCCGCGCGCGTCCTCCCGCTCGGCGTGTGCTTGGCCCAGGGAGCCGGGAGGGCCCGGCGATCGCGCCGCGGCCGCCGCGAGGGTGTGAGCGCGCGTGGGCGCCCGCCGAACCGGGGCCATGGTGCAGCAAACCAACAACGCCGAGAACACGGAAGCGCTGCTGGCCGGCGAGAGCTCGGACTCGGGCGCCGGCCTCGAGCTGGGCATCGCCTCCTCCCCCACGCCCGGCTCCACCGCCTCTACCGGCGGCAAGGCCGACGACCCGAGCTGGTGCAAGACGCCCAGCGGGCATATCAAGCGGCCCATGAACGCCTTCATGGTGTGGTCGCAGATCGAACGGCGCAAGATCATGGAGCAGTCGCCCGACATGCACAACGCCGAGATCTCCAAGCGGCTGGGCAAACGCTGGAAGCTGCTCAAAGACAGCGACAAGATCCCTTTCATTCGGGAGGCGGAGCGGCTGCGCCTTAAGCACATGGCTGACTACCCCGACTACAAGTACCGGCCCAGGAAGAAGGTGAAGTCTGGCAACGCCAACTCCAGCTCCTCGGCCGCCGCCTCCTCCAAGCCGGGGGAGAAGGGAGACAAGGTCGGTGGCAGCGGCGGGGGCGGCCATGGGGGCGGGGGCGGGAGCAGTAACACGGGGGGAGGTGGCGGCGCGAGCGGTGGCGGCGCCGCCAACTCCAAACCGGCGCTTAAAAAGAGCTGCGGCTCCAAAG